ATCCCTCTTTCCTTATTGGAGGACTTTCTTTACTTTGAAAAATACAAGTATCAAAGATTGATATCTAGGCATTGGTCATACCTCTGAGAAAAATACACTAAGAGGCTTCTTTCCATCCTGGATAAAGTCATTCCCAAATCTGAAGCTTTATGACTTTGAGTACAGTAGAGATGTTTGCTTTTCTTGCATTTTTCAGTCAATACTTTCCCTAAATTTATAGAAATGGAGATATATTTATAGAAAAGGACGCTCAGAAGTTCTCAAGGCAGATGTCCAGGTCATTGTCAATATCTAGATTCCCAAGCCCAGTATCCACGTCTTGCTCTTGGCAAGTGGCAGGGCCAAACACTGACAGAGAGGAAACTTCTGGGTGTCAGTCAGTCCCAAAAGCAGTGATTGGGATGGAGCATGAAGAACAACCTCTCTAAGCATCTCAGCAAAACATGCTGAAACATGCAAAGAAGCAGCAGTAATTTTGACTCAGAGACATTTATGGGACATTAAAGGGAGGGGAAATTCCTTCAAAGATTGATTTTGCAGCCCTTTGTTGCACTAGTTCCCTTCACTTCAAGGGCATAGCACACTTCCGAGCAACAACATTGGATCCAGATTACATACAAGATACCACTTACTAAAGAAATTTAAAATAGAACAACAACAACAAAAAACAACAGAAGAAATGATACTGTGCAAACAAATGTGCAGTCATACTTCATCAGTAATGCATATATGCAAAACTCTTCAGGTGCAGAGATATTTCTTTTCAAAGCCGCACTAAAATTGGAAGGTCTCTTTGGTGATTCAGAGCTTTCACTTTCTTGTCTGATGTTTGTGCCACACAGAAAGAGAGCTCAGTCTCGCAAACATTTTTTCCCTTAAGTATCTTAGCTGAAACCCAGCTGGGTGCAAAAAAGCTCAGAGCAATAACCATATTTATCATTACTCATGAGATCAGATGTCTCTAACTTAACTGTAACTATGATACTTCCTGACTGTAGGTTCTAATCATCACTATGAAATTTGGGGCATAACTAAATAATTGTAATCCTAATAACATTAGTAGGTCTGTGACATAAACCATGGAAACCACTATAGTAATGTGTGTTTTACTTTGTTTTGTCAGGATTCAAAAATAAATAAAAAGATGAGGAAAGCAGAGAGTAAAACCAGAAAAAAATAACAGGATATTGCTGCCACTGATGTCTATGGCAACTGGCAGAAATCCCATGCATTTTAATGGGAGTAAGATTTTCAATTTTTAGTACTTGTGCCCTACATATCTTTCGCCTTCAGCTCTTCTCAACAGCATTGATTACATGATGTTCTGGAAAATGAACCTCCAAAATGCAGTCTTGGCCGGTTGGAAAGGTTTACTCTTTTTTTTCTTTTCTGTAACTTATGCTCAAATTTCAAACATGGGCATAAGGATTATATTTTTATTTTACTACATAAGGGGATTGAACAAGTCTTGATGCTGACAGAACACTTTATGTGATATTTAGCAACAAAGAAGGAATCTCTGTCAGCCCAGAATTCAAGAGAGAAGGAGTTGGCTAAATTCATGGCACGGTGTGGGAAAATTACCTCAACACTGTCTACTTTGGCTGATTTTCCCTTATGCTGACACTTCTGATGCCCTGAAAGTTGCTGTGCTCACATCCTCTGCTGCTGGTGTCAAAGAACACTCTCAGTCTTCACATGCCAAGATGAGGAAAACCTATTGCAATGCCCAAAAGACTTAACTCCTGTCAAATATATTCATTTAACACACGCACTCTGGTCTATTGCTCTGAAGTCTTAAAGTGATGGTATGAAGGAGGAAGGAAGAGAAAAACAGGCAGTAGCTTTAAAACAAAATCTTTAATTAATAGAGTCACTCCATTTCATTGTAGGAGAGGCAAAAAATATTAGCCACAAAGACAGAATTAGATTTTCAAATTAGTGCTATACAAGCACTATACAAAGGATTGCACACAATCCTACTGAAAAATAATTACTGAGAAATAACTCCCTCATGTGAAAAAAAACCGCTTCTTGTTTATATACTGGAGTATATAAACAAGTCCTTCTAGTGTCCAGACTTGTCCCTGAAGACTACAGTCATCACTTGGGTCACTTTTAGACATTATTGTAGAATTAGAATTTATACTTTCTGTATTTAAAAAAAAAAAAAAAAAAAATTGTTCAGCTATTTGGGGTGCAGTCTTCACTTTTTTTTTTTTTTTCTATTCTTGTCAAGACTATAGAAACTCAGTTCACAGTGAAATAACTTTTTCATATGCTACTGATTCCCTAAGCTATGCGACTATCCTACTACACTCCTTTGTCCTCTCCATTTCACTAAGTTCACACATATGGGAATAAAACACTTTCAGAACAGGGCCAATAGCAAACCAGTCACATCAAGCTCCTGATTCTATAACATTATAAGAATGTGTTCCTACACGTGTAGGGATTCCCACTGATGTTAGCATCCCCTCATGAGTCAACAGAACAGAACAGAATATCTTGACTTGGAAGGGACCCATAAGGATCACAGAGTACAACCACCTTAGTTCTAGGTATTCCTGTGAGGAGTCCAACTACCTGCCTGGACTCCTCACAGGACTACCTAAAACTAACTCAGAAGACCAGACAGGCCATTTATTTGGCTTACCACATCCACCAGCTGGGTTATATTTAGGTTTCATAGCTGTAAGGTCCCTGCCAGACTTCTTTCATCATCAGACTTCTAAGACTGCCACACCATTTTGCTATTTGTTTTGCAGTATACAAAAACAAATTAGTAGAAATTTAAGAATCTCAACAAATGTCAAAGAACGTGATGTGGCTACAAGAAAAAACCTAGGAACTCTGCAAAGGAAGAGAAATAATCTACCTGTGCAGCCCGGGAAGTGTCATCTGAAGGTTTGCATGTACCTCTGAGTCCCCATACTGGAAAGAAGTGGACCAGCTGAGGTGCAGTTTAAATCACCAGGCCCGCAAAGACAGCCTGAATTGGGCCTGTTTAACCTTAAAACAATGAAAACGGAAGGAGTCTAAGCAATGGCTGCAGTGCAGCAGATAATTATATATTTGCTTAATTTATTTTGGGTAAAAGAAGAAGTAATAGACTTAAGTTTCTGAAAGAAAAAGTGATTTTAATGAAGCACTGGACTGAATTCCCTGGGCAACAATGAAATTTCACCCACTGAGGGTTTTTCAGAGGAGGCAGGACAAACTTGAATGAGGTAGGTATATGTTGATCCTGGGACCATCAAATTTGTGGCCACACAAAACAGAACAAAACAAACAAACAAAAAAACTCCACACTTTTACACTTATTTTTCAATCACTTTTTCTTGAGAAGAAAGACAGAAAACTTTTCAATGTATCTATCCCATTCCTACCCCTTTTCCTTTCTCACTCATTTTCTTTCCTATAAATTATCCCAGAAACTAAACTATTTATTTCCCTCTCTAAATATGATAAAGTTCAGGTAAAGTAAGGACAACACTTTACAAATAGGATTTTTGTAAAATACCTACATTTTCAGACATCTGCCTATACAAGTGTATACTGAAGAGTCAGATTTTTTTTTCCACCCACTTCATTCTCAGAACAGGGCAATGAAATAGCTGGTAGCAAAGGAAACTTCTGGGGGTTGCCATTCAAATCACAACACCCACAGAGCTTTTCTATTTGCTTGGATACTTCCTATATAGCCAGAGAAGTAATTTTGTAAACAATAAAAGCATTTCTACTGAAAAAGAAATACATACATATATATATATATTTTCCGGAACAAATTACAAACTTTTTACTAATCCTGATAACCATCATAAACCTGCAGAAACTTTTGAAACAAGAACACGAGAAGATAAAATGAGAAATATAAGAGGAAAAAAAGAGAAAATTAAGAAGGAGAAATCCAAAATATATTATTTGAAGTATGTAATTTTGTGAGTGTTCTTCAAGACTAATGATTTGAGATTTGATTCAATTGCAAGTTAGATCTGTAGAGCACTTGTAAATTCTCCTATTCTTGCTCACATCAAAAATTTTAATTTTAAATGTAAGATGTGACCCTGATCTTGTTATAGTTAGGGACTGTTTGGTCCTTTAAAAGATTCTTTTCTTTAAGTAATCGCAGTATTGTACCTCAGTATGTTTGGTTTTCCTCAGATAGTCTTTGTAATCAATACACCAAAGGGAGTCAGTACAGCAAAGGCAATGCAACACTTCCTGACACCATCTATTTATCTAACACAAAACTGGAAAGATTTTGAAAGCAATGGCAACACAGAGAGAGCAGGGTCTGGCCACTAGTTCTACCCTGGCTATAGTTGTTGATTCTTTAATTCATCAGGAATTTCAGTCTCCTCATCCTGCCTCTGTGTGCTATGTTGGGTTTGAGCTGCTCTTGTGCTATGTTTTTTGTTTTCTCTTCTTTTTGTATTTTTTCTGAATACTGAAACATTTTTTAAAAGACTAAAAAGAGCATACAAACATACAACATAAACCCAAAAAATCAAGCGTGGCACAGTAGGAGAAGAAAGCTTCTGGAGAGAGAAAGCAAAACTGTGTGACAGATGGAAAAGTCTCAATGGATGAATGGTACTACTACAAATAAGTAGCAGGCAGCCAGAGGGAATCAAATAATGATTATACAAGAAAAATGAGGGTTTAAAAAATGGGGTAAAAAACCTTCAGCACTGGAAGAAAATTCTAGAGTAGTAATGTATAATATTTTTATAAGGGAGGTTTCATTATATGCTTCCCACAAACAGGGAAAGCACTAAAGACAAAGAAGCTAGATGGCTGACAAGCGAGCCAGTGTGGACAGTATAAAAAGCTCAACATGTCCTTGGAGAGGAAGGAATGTACTCCAGGATTCGGTCTGGCATGCCCCCAAACATGAACAGATTACTTTCTGACGATCAATACCTGTAACCACCAGAGGCCTGTTGCAGAGTTTAAAATAAAAAAATAAAAAAAAAATCAGCTTCAAAGAGACCTGGTCCCAAGCCCACATTTTATTTTTGCCACTGGGTGCTGAGTTAAGAGCTTTGGACAAGGCTCATTTTTCATCTCTTTATAGGGCTGTGGATTGAATATGAAGTGTTGTGGTATGTTTTCAGGGCTTTGCTCCATCTGTTTCCTGTCCCAGAGAGGAGCCCTCTCAGGATGACACTCGTCCCCTTTGACCAAAGCTGGTATCAGATCTTTCACAGCAGCCTGATTAACGTCTCCTTTAACATCCATGACTCCTATAAAGGAAAAAACAAACAAACAAACAAACTTTTTTTTTATTAATTTAAGTCCCTTTCCTTTTGGACACAGATAGAAAAACCAAGAAGGTTCCTCATTTTATCTGAAATGTTACTGATCAGCAGTTATATCCAAATGCAGCTTAGCTATTTTACAGAAGTACAGTGGGTACTTTTTCACACACTGTAGTATACTTCGATAAAAATTAAACCTCAGATTTTTCCCATAATATAATTTAATCACAAAGACTTGTGAAATAAATGCTTTTAGATATTACTATGAGTAGGAAGCAATAATTCATACATGTTTCTGGAGTCACAGAGAGTTCTGTACAGTTTACCTTAATTTTCTTTTGTCTTTGCCCCATTTATTTTTCAGATACTGAAAAGCAGTACACATTTTCCAGGAAGCACTGATGCACTTACTTTTTTGTCCTGTCTACCTTAGTTGCTCTGAAAATAACTGGTCTGAATAAGGAAAATAAGAGAAGAACAGAAAATCTAAGCAGCTTTTTAAGGAAACAGTCAAAAAGAAAGAAATAAAAAAGAGGGGAAAAAAAAGAAAAAAAAAGAAAGAAATAACTGTATTATTGATAGCAAACTCCAGGATGATGGATGAAAAGAACAACAATATCCTTTAATCATAAAGCACTAACATTCCAGCAGTGCTGGTAAGTGAGTGGAGCAGTGAAACCATTTGAGACTTAAACAGATGGATTAGGAAAGGTTCCACTGTGGGTTCCTGGACAGATTTCAAAACAGCAGCCTGATTAACTAATGCACAAAAAGCAAGTGATTCTTCCAATCAATAAGCTTTTATGTAAGCATATTTGAGTTATAATATTTAAACACAGCAGACAAGTGGGGAATCAGGAATTCCTCATGCTGGGCTAACAAAGCAGTAAGTTTTACTTGAATCTGAAGATTCAAGATTTTTTCCCAGCAACTCTCAAAGGGGTTTTACAGCTAATGTTGTCACCGCATGTTCATCAATATATTAACAGCTCCTCATGGTTTTGTGAAAATGATGGTGAGTTCCAAGTCAAAAAGATGTTATTTTTTTTACAAATATTTTTTAAAACACTGTTTTAGGGAGAACTTAAACATATTTTCATTGAATGATGGAAACTACACATAAAATTAATTGACTGCTTTTCCCAGTGAGCTAATTTTCCACAAATAATTACAGAGGGAGTACAGTCAAAAGCCCAGGTCATAGTGGCTGACGCCCTTCAGTGTGAATAACATATTTATCCTAGGTAACAAATGGAAATGGAAAATGGTAATAGTTTTATATGGATATTTTTAGGTATCTTTACTTTGAAATCACTTAAAACCATTTAAAGGAGGTTACAATTTTTACGAAATTACTGGCAATGGATACTATGTCTCTTTATCTTAAATGTCCAGAGTTGCAATTAGAAGTATGATATTTTATAAAGATTTTAAAAGTGATCTAAAAATAGCTCTTTATATAAGATCTTGTTGTTGTTGTTGTTGTTGTTTCTAATAACTTGCAACGTTCAAAGGATAGAAACAGGCACGAAAATTTCTTTTTTGTATGATAAGTGGACTTATAGGCCATGCTTTCTAGTACTCCATTTATACCATAATCAACAAACATGCAGATTTATACTGATTACTTATATAGGTTTCCCTTTCTAGGTGAGGTCTGGCTACAAGATATTTAATGTTAAACCTTACACTTACGCAGAGAGGAATTTTGCTTATTGTTTGTCATGTAATATCTTTTATGAAACACTTTGATAGTGTTTCCTGAAGACTAACTTTTTAGTATTTTGAGTTTTCACATTTGGGAATATTTAGTAGGTTTTCAAACGTAGTCCTTATAGCAAACGTTTTTTTGTTTGTTTGTTACAAAACAAAACCAAAAATATTTGTTTGTCGTAGACAAATAAATAATCAGAAGACACCAGTCAGAATGTACACAGTAAAGGCACTTCATTATTGACTTTGATATCACAGGACTTTTCATGCCTATCACCAAACTATATCCATAAAAATGTGAAAGCCATAACCCACAGAATACTGTGGAAGTACACACTGACTATGAATCTCTGCTTAGCTTAGCTAACCCATGAACCCAAATGAAGTTTTAAGAGATTAATAAGCAAAATGATTAGTTCAGGATCAACACACACATTTGAAGAACACATTCTTAGAGCCTCATGGCTCAGCCAGATCAAAACAGCTTTTAACAGGACTAATGAAAGACACACCTCAAGTTTCAGGACTACACTGCTACCAAATTTTCACTGCTTTCGAGTCTGCAAAGTTGCCCCAAGGTTAGAGCAAATTTTCATGAGGAAATATCTCATTATCAACTATCTTTGAAAATGACAAGGAAATTCATCAGATTTGCCTCAAGGTTTATGCCATTTTCAGAAAAAAACCAACCAACCAACAAACAAGCAAACAAAAACCCTAAAACCTAATATTTGACCAGGTAAGAACGAACTTATCAGTTTTTCAAGACACTTCAGAATCAAATGTCTCCCTTAGCTATAAATATGTTCTTCATTTTGGCAGCATGCCATGTAGTCAGTACATGTGTAGTATTTGTCACTGTCTCCTTGCCTGCTAGAAGCCAAGTTGCAATTGCACATTGTGATGTCTCAAGGACTTCGCACTGGGCTGAAGTACTGGACTGCTGTGGTGCTAGGACTTTGCTTCTTTCCATCAAGGAGTTTGGACTCCACGACCTGTGGAGCTGCTGGCTTTCCTGTTTCCCCTTTAAATTGCCCAGCCAGGTCCTCTGCTTCATACATGTGTAGGTCTGAATACATGTATATATTTGCCTTGAGGTTTACAATGGAAATGTTCTTCATAAATTGAAAAAGAATATTGGGGAATAAAATGCCTGCAGCCCCAAAACAAGTAATAAGTCTATTAGTCTACAATATTAGAATAGTGTCTTTCAGTCCCCAGGGTATGACCCTCACAGGATGAAATGTCATTCATTGTCAGAGTGACTAAACAGTTGACAGAGGCATGTAGTAAACCTGTAGTATTCAATAAAATCCTCTGAACACAGCAGAGATCCTTCCAATTTTCTGAAAGGGTTCTTATCTTTCTCAGACAAAACTCTTCTTTTCTCTCCTCAAGTCTATGTATGAGTTGTAACCACCACAAAGGCTGTCTTCTTCTCCTCCTCACTATGAACTTCAGACTGGGGGTGGAAGAGGAGGAAGAGTGTGATAAGAAGTCCCTTTCCTCTGGGCCACGTTGTCACTAACTCAATCCTATCAGCACATGTTGCATGTAGTGTTTGGAGCAATGGCAGTATAAATTCTCTGCTATTCCTAGTTATTCAAATTATGTGACATTTTGTGATGATCTGAGGGCATGTTTACAAGCAGCAAAAATATCCCAGTGTCATGAATAGACTAGAACCCAGATGCTATGATTCAACTTCAGCTGCCAATTACTGCTATTTTGAATACAAACAAATCTGAAAGTAAAAACATTAAATTAAGGATATCAAATACATTAAGCAGATTTTGAAGTATTACCCTACTTCTACTTTAAGGGGCACTACAGATTCCAAGAAAGGAAAAGAGTTCTTGCCCACAATTAAAACAGTAAATAGTATTATATTCTGTGTAGCTCCTAGGAGTTTGGTCCCCCACAGTTATCTGTGGGATGCTTCACACTGCCACAGTAGGGCAGTTCAACATTTCAACCTCTTACTATAAAAATTAACCTGTTTTTTCTAATACACTTTGAACTCTGTTCACAGAAGCCCACATTGCATGAAATTCACAGGCCCTCACAGAGATAAAATAATTCTCCTTTTTAGTACACCACTGAGGAATGCTAAAAATAGTTGTACATATCAGGAAAAAAAAACTCCTTTGGGGACTGCAGTGTCTTTGTCTCATTAGAAAGAAGAAAATAGATATGTATATATGTTTACAATTGAATCAAATTTCTCTACATGATACTAAGTAGTTAGAGTACATTCTGGAGATTCCGGAATCTCAGACCGATCTAATTATTATACTTCTCTATTCCAAATATAGAAGAACAGTGCATTAATTTCAATTACTGAATAACAAATAGCAGTTGTTACTTCCATTTACTGTGAAAACATATTAAATACTACACCTGTAAGAAGCATATATATTTGGGTAATATATAGATATATGTGCACGCATCTAAATGCAGAGGTGTGTGTACAATTGTTTGCTATGAAGAAAAAAGTTCCTCATTGTCACCTATACTCTGTTGTCTGACTTTAGCAGGTGGGTGGAGTTTTGCATCAGTGGCATAATGCTTAACACAGAGAGGTTGGATTGACTTGAACCTGAGTCACTGGGAGGACAAAGTTCTCTTATTAAAACCTTGCTGATTAGCCCTAAAAGTGACACTGGTGACCTTGGAGACAGTAGTAGGGATTTTCTTCAATAGAAGCACTGAAGATATGAAACTCTTGCAGTCCTAATGTGCATATATATGCAGATCTCAATCACTTGCCCCACTCTATTCTCTTCTGAGATATTTTTAGAAATATTTTTAAGGGAAATGTAGCAGCAGTAAGGCCAGTTATAATACATTTCATCTTGAAACATACCTGTACACTAGAATATCTGTGAGGGGCATTGAATCACACTTTTATAGAGAGCACAACAAATTCACCTGAAGTCAAATAAAGGAAGTGTATGTTCATTACTGGCTGTGGTGAATTTCTTTTTGGATGCTGTGTGCTTTAACAGCCCTTTATTCTTGCCTATATGCCTCTTTAAGTAGGAACAGTTTTATTAGATATTGTGGCACCCTTCAGATTATATTCACGTAAACAAACAAAATATTACTTGGTGCCAAAACATTCATATGGGTACTGAACAATCATCATTAAAGCAGTCAACATCAAGCTTTCAGAAATTGTTAACATTCCAAAGCATTTAGGCAGATACAGATTTTCCACTGCCTAAAAAATAAAAGAAGCTTTATAACTGGTTTTCCTCTATCTGCAGAAA